CTGTGATACCTGAAGAGGAAAAAGAAGTATTCTCTTCTCCATTTACAGAATGTAACCACTATCCACCTTCTTAAAAGCTCTTAAAATGTTTCCCTGAAACAAGGAAAGGCAGAGAAAATGCATATAGATGAATGCCAGTACAGCGCTCTCAAAACCAGAGCAGTATTTAAAATTTGGAAGAATACAGAAGTCTTTGTTTCTGACCATTCTGGTGGGTGGATAACACACTCAGGGCAAACTGCTGCCCTCTGTCTATATATCTGGAAGGCCCCAAGGCACAGGGAAAAGAACAGAATAAATTATCTGGCAAAAAGTCATTTCCTTTTAAGGAAAAGTTAAAAGACCCCCAGGAACTGAGAAAAATGAAGTCCTTTTTGTGAGTTTTTATGTTCTTTGTAGTAATGATTTTTACAAGTTTAAGATAAACACAAATAATATTTATTGTATTAGAAAATCCAGATAACCAAAATAAGAACACAATAGCTACTGGAAATTATATTGTCAATGGATAACAGTGTCAAACTTCTTTTTTTTGGCTATTTATTGATCTCCTTGAATATTCTTGATCAGGTTCTTAGTATGCTTTGGAAAGGCTTGCAGGTTGTGAAAGTTCATTGCTTATGTGAGTTAAATGAATAATATTTACAATAAAGGAACCCATTTCTGAAGTTATGCGGGAAAAAGTCAAGGTCTGCTATTTTTATAATATCAGCATATTTTTCCCAGTTTTTTACATTATACTATTGTCTAGCCTATAGTTTGATGAGTACTGCCCAATTCTCACTGTCTGATTCACAAGATGTTGGTTATGAGTGTCTGAATTTATACCATTTAGAATTCATGGAGTATACAAATAGGGAAATGCAGTAAAATTAGCTGTCCTGTGTGTACCACCAGAAAGAACATCTGCAATTATATCCCAGTGAAAACTCCTACTAAAAGTGACCGCCTGGTATTGTCAGAGAGAAAACATTACAGAGAAAATTCCATTTAAAATGTGTGTATCTAAGTTTTATGAGACATTATCTTATTACATATATTGAAAACTTCCTTCTAAAAAAAAAGAAAGAATGGGGTGCCTGGGTGGCTCAATTGGTTAAGTGTCTGACTCTTGATTTCAGTGCAGGTCATGATCTCGGGGTCGTGAGATCGAGCCCCACATCAGGCTCCATACTGGGCATGGAGTCTGCTTAAGATTCTCTCTCTCCCACTCCCTCTGCCCCTTCCCCAGCTTGTGCATGAACACATTCTCTAAGTACAAAAGGCAGGCAGGCAGGCAGGCAAGAAGGGAAGAGGGAGGGAAGCAGGAAGGCACGGGGGGGGGGGGGGGGGGGGGAGGGGGGGGGGGGGGGGGGGAGGGAGGGAGGGAGGGAGGGAGGGAGGGAGGGAGGGAGGGAGGGAGAATGGATGGATGAATAAAGGATTTTCTCTTCCTTCAGGAGAACACAAGGGTTAGGGTCACATGCTTCCTGGGTAGGGTTGAAGCATTCACATGTTTACACTGTCACTGGGAGAAAGTGGACAGAGAACTGGCACAGCTTCCATACCAACCTGGTTCCCAGGACTGTAAGAAGGTGTGCCTCACATACCACATGATGGAAATCAGCCATCTCTGGTTCTTGGTCAAGAATGTTCTAAATTACAGCAACTCTAAGCACTTCTAAAAATGCTCAACAGATGCTTTAAAATATTTTCTCTAGCAAAAAAATTCTTATAATTTTTATGTTATCAACTAACGCTGATACATTTACCTAAAATATATATGTGTGCATACCTACACACACACACACACAACACACATATATATACAAATACACATCTACATACACATGTACCATTTTTGTAAAAGATTTTTTTTAAATGCTACATTTAAACCCAGTGTCGACCATGGGAATTAATTCTGCCTCCCTGGGAATAGTTGGCAATGTCAAGAGACATTTCTGCTTGTCATGACTGGGGGTGACACAGCTAATGGTATTTAGTGGGTATAGAGTCCAGTGATGCTGCTAAACATCCTACAATGCACAGGACAGCCCTCGACAACAAAGAATTATCTGGTCCGCAAGGTCAATATTGTCAAGCTTAAGAAATCTCTAATTAGACTTAGTTTGATACCTTGTATGTATCTCTACTTGTTCTTGCTTGCAAATATGCTTAATGCCAAGTAGAAAACTTAATCTCATTCAGTTCTCAGAAGATGGTATTCTGTTTTATGGTCGGTAACCTATTTTTGGATTTAGTGTGGCTCTTTGATTTCACATTTGAGTTGTTCATCTTTGTGTTACATACCAAACACAGGTGGGTGTTTTAACTTCATTAAATTCTAGATAGGTATTTTCTTTAACAAATGATTTCAATGATTTAACTAAATGTGCTTGTATTCTGAAAGGCTGAATATCACAATGGATAAAACTAGTAACCGGGGGGCCATGGGAAACATTTTAAGACTAAACATAAGTGAACTCTATATATCTCAAAAGAGACCATTTAATTAGCCCTGAACTTGAAAGAAACCAAATAAAGATTTAGTCTAATCATGCTATGAGACATTCATAATGCATTTTTCCCTTGCACCCTGAGACTCAAGGTATCCATATCACTACTCAGTGGAAAACAGAATTATTTAATGTTTATTATTAATGATCAATATGACAAAATAATTCAGATAAGATATGGCATATGTTTCAGTATTTGCCTACAATTCATCTACATCTCTTGCACACAATTGACGGGAAAATGTGTACTTTATTCTACTGCCAAAAAAATCTTACAGAATTAGAATACTGGCCAGTATCAAATGGAATGGCTTTGCTACTGATAGGAGAGAGCATCACATGTGGAGAAACCTTTTTTTTTTTAATCTTACAATAACTGTGCACATACTTAAGAAAATGGAATTCTCAATCTCAAATTCAACATTTGTAAGATTTACGTAGGAACCCATGTCCTACCAGTCCTTTCCCTCCAGTCTTGATTTTCTCCTTTACCTCTATTTTCCTGCTCCACATTATGGACCAGAATGTAAGCACTGATTCAGCCAACCACTTATTGAGGAGAGAAAAGGCCAGAGGTCAAATGAACAAGCCATCAGAAACCACAATTAAATTTTCCTGAGCTGCCACTCACTTGGACCCTGGTCTAAGATCAATGCTCTCCCCTAATTCTTTAAAAGGTAAAAAGAGTAAGAACTTTACAGATGTTCTGCTTAAGTATCTCAAATAACAATATAACAACTGGTTTGTAACAGGCAACCTGAGGTGCTTGGTGAAAGTAAAGATTTGTGGACCCTCCTCCCCAGACTTTCTGATTCACCAGGTACGGGGTGGAAGAGCAGAAATCTGGATTTTAACAGGAAGTCCATGTATTATCCTTGAGAAATATATGCAAAGTTTATAACTCAGGCTTTGTGCAATGCAACTTATGTTTTATTCTCAGTTCTAATGCCGGCTCTGATAGCATTGCAGAGATTGCTTCATGTGGCTAAAGCTTTAGTTTGCCATCTATAAAATGGGAGTAATGACAGTAATCTCTTGTTTGTTAATATTAAAGCATTCATTTACAAGGCCTTAGACATAACTAGTACATGAGAAATTGTGTATCAGTAGTAGTATCCGTCATTATCAACATCTTCACCATCACCATTCTGTCCCCACAAATCCCTGTATACACATTTTAGGGAAACACAGCAGTTCTAGAGGAAATAAGGCTAAACCTTTAGATTTTTTTTCATTCTAGAAAACCTAATCAAAATCCAATGTACTGCAATAAAGGCATGTGTGTTAAGTTACCATTAAGTTTCTTTGCTTTTGGCAAGAATATTTCAGCTCCATGTGGTAATGCTCTCATGCTGTTCAGGAGCAGAACTTGGCTCCTTTACAGGTCTCTTTTTAAGGATACGCCATTTAATATTATTTAATAAATGTGACCTGATTTGTTGGTAATATCACAAAACATGGAAACAATGGCACACCCATTGCTGATTTCCTTGTTGAATAATTTATGTAAATTGTGACATGTTTTTTAAAGGACCAGGCTGCCTTATAAATATACAGGCAGCACAATGTAATATGTTGGACAATTTGGGGTATAATAAATAGGCTCATTAAAAAAAATGAAACCCTTACACCCCAAAGGAAAAAAGAGCTTTGCTTAGGTCTTTGGCATTAGATGAAGACATCCTCCCCCTCATCAAATAATAGGAATGATGATGACAACATTGTATTTCCACTTTTCTCTGCAATTCTATGGTGTCAAGTTTATTCCCTTCTCAGAAAAATATGATACAGTGGTTTTACCCTAATAAAACTCATGGACAAATACACTGAAATATTTAGTTTTATATGGCATTGACCTGTTGCTTGCATGGATTACTGGCACACTAACATTGATTGTCAAATTTCACTTACACAAAGGTAGGAGGACTTCTTGTAATTAATGACCGAGCTGGATTTCACCAAATAGCACCAAGTATAAACACTACATTTACTGCAAATAGAAAGGGGCACATAACAGAATCTTACCAAAACTAATTGGCTTACATTATCAGGTCCATGAATGATAATGTTTGTAATAAACCAATATTAGAATAAAATTCCAAGCACACCAATAAACCTGCTGCTGGAGTTACTTAACATGCTTTTATGCAAGGAGCATGTGGTTCTAATTTAGATTCCATTGATGCAGCAGATTGTTAAAACTCCAGTAGTTGCATGTGATGCTACCCAATAGATGATAAGTGGGGCAGGTTAGTTCGTGAGGCTTTATCTCTAACTAGCCCTAAAAATGCACACTGCAAACTATAGCAGAGAAAAGACTGGACCTTGCGAAATTAGACACACTGGAGGGAGAGCAAACGAAGCCCTATTTTCAAAGGGAAGATGCCTGTTATGTAGTAACAAAAAGGTACCCACTTTGGGAGAGGTACATCCACCATCAAAACAGGACATATTAAGTCAACCCACAGTACTAACCCCCCAAAATAACAAAACAGGCAAGGTTACCTTTCTCACAGTGGCTTCCTGTGAATCCAGAAGGACAGACGCATTTGTTAGGAGACACGCACGTTCCACCATATTTGCAGCCCTCTTGGCAGAATGCTGTCACCAAAAAATAAGGGATTTCTCTTAGATAAGATGTCAATAAGGAAACTCATGGTGAATAGTGTGAACACTGAAACAATTCTTTCCTTGGTGCATAGAGCATACATACCTGTGTTGACATATTTAAAAGTTTCGGAATACAAAAAGAAATAAATGTCATAATACCTATTTCACTGGTTTACATATAGATCATTTGAAATAATAAAGTATTTCACACAGGGCTGGCATGTGCTAAGTGGTAGTTAGTATGAGCAGCTATTACTGTTGCTGCTATTCTGATTATTGATATATTTGAAAGCAAATAGGATAAATTGAGTAACTAGAAAGGATAGGGTAGGGGTAAAGGCAAAGGCAACTGAAATACTATTTTGTAACCACTCCTAAAACATCTTTTATTATAATAAAAACATTTTTGCATTATTTTAAAAGATCTTGGGTAGTTAATATAAGTTTTTTAAGGTTTTATTTATTTATTGAGAGAGAGAGCACGCACGTGCGCACACCTGTGAGCACAGGGAGGGGCAGAGAGAGAGGGAGAGAGAATCTCGAACAGATTTTGCACTGAGCACAAGCTGGACATGGGGCTTGATCTGATGACCCTGAGATCACGATCTGAGCCAGAACCAAAAACTGGATGCTTAACCAACTGAGCCACCCAGGCACCCCAGGTAGTCGGTATCATTTTTGATAATATACATTTAACTAAGCACTTACTTTTGAATATTTAAGATGTTTCCAACAATTCTATAAGAAAACAATGCCTTGTCCTTATAGCTAAAATGCTTAACACACCTCAAATTATTCCTTTAGGGGAAATGCTTCAATGTGAAAATGTGGTTTCAAAGGGTGTGAACTTTGATAAGCCTTTTGATAAGCATCAAAAAATGATCCCCACCCCATCTCAGTGCTACCCTGCTAGCCTTCTGAGACCAGGTTACTTTCCCTTATTAGCCACTAGCACAGCATAGCTCTGGGAACCTCTCCTTTTCAGTACTAACTACCATTGTTCACTTACATATAACTGATTACCATCTTCTGTTTCATCCATTGGACTGTAAGACCCATCAGGAGAAGTAACTAGGATTGTTCTTGTTCCCCATTGTACCACAGTTTCAGAATCTGAGCACACAGATGCTTAAAAATAGTTGCTGAATGAATTCCCCTATATTTTGCACATTATTCTGATCAGAAAACTCTTGCTATAACAATTCCTCAACACACTTTCATGCCAAATAATTTATTATCAAGCCTTGCAGGATAACCAGTAATTTAGTACCAAAACTGCAAAATTTCTCATTAATGAAGACGACTGCAACTTGGTACCACAGTTTCTTTTTCACACGAGAGCTAGGTGAGCAAATGTTTTTAACTGCAATTAGAAACATATCACACAATGGGGTGCCTAGGTGGCTCAGTCGGTTAAGCGTCTGCCTTCAGCTCAGGTCATGATCTCGGGGTCCTGGGATCGAGCCCTGCTTCGGGCTCCCTGCTTAGTGGGAAGTCTGCTTCTCCCCCTCCCTCTGCCCCCCACTTGTGCTCTCTCTCAGTAAATAAAATCTTAAAAAAAAAAAAAAGAAAGAAACATGTCACACTGGAAAGATGCCATGGTTATATTTTGCCATCATCACAAAAATATGGATTTAACTTTAAAAAGCTACATAACCTCTTTGGATAGTTCAACACTAGTTCAGGACTTCTTTGGATAGTTCAACACTAGTTCAGGTACATAGAACTTCTCACAATATTGTCATTTTCCATATCATTTACTACTCCCTGGATAATTTTACGTTCTGTAGCTCAGTAATTAATTGTGAGCTCCTCTGTGTCTGCCAGAGGACAGATAGTGCATACCTTGCTATTCAAATACCATTTCCCATTTTCCAGCATCTTAGTACCCTGAGACTGTGCAAAAAACATTCACACAACATCTGCTTTGGTATGTTCATCAAAAATCAATATGTATATAAATATATGCATACAAATATATACAAAATCCCTTTTCCCCAAAAATCACACATTTGTGCACTGACAACTACCATTTCAAGTAAGATATTTAACATATAGCTCTGCATCAATGCTGGTTACAAAAAAAAAAAAAATAAAGTGGTTTTGCAAACTGAAAATGATAGATGGAAAGCTGATAAAGTTTCAAGCAACCCCAAAAGAAGACAGGGGTTTGGAAGCAAGAAACTCAGTTTGGGTTTCTTTAGTGAAACAAACAGCACATACGTGCACACACACGTATACACACAGATCGGCAGATTCATAATACCTGTGTGCTCCTGATTTACTCAACTCTTAAGAAGAAACGATATCGAGATTTTGGAAGAAAGCATGAGATGCTTGTGATAGTCTAAGAACGTAGATGTCATAATAAATATGGTGCTATGAGGATGAAATGAGTTAATATTTGTAAAGGCCTTTAAATAGTGTGTGGCACATAGTGTTAAGTATCTTGTTAAATACATTTGATCGACAGCAATAATGTTATGGCTGTGAAACATGGACCAAGAACAAATCGTCTAATACCAGACAATATAGACCCATCTGACAAGGTGTTCAGCTTCATCAAGGATGCATGAAAGGCATTCCTTGTTATTTATACTTTAATTTCTAATAATAGTAGTAATGGCCCTTATCATGGTATTATTAGGGAGGTGTTACCGTTTGACAAAAAAGGTGAAACTGGGGCTCAAAAATGCAGTACCCCATCTAAGGTCATACAGGTATCAAAGCAGTAGAGTCAAGATTCAAGCAAAGATTTCTTTGGCTACAAAGTCTTGTCTTTTCTTTATATGTTATAGTGCAGGTTGGTCTGCAACCTGGTATTCACATGGGCAGCTTTATTCTTTTTTGGGATAGTTCCATAAGGAACTATGGACTGTAGTTAAGGAAATGGACTGTAAATTGAAAGAAAAAATATGTCCAAATTGCACATGTGGCACGAAAGAAGGGAGGTAGGGAGCTGCTCGAGTTCATGTACGTCTCATCACATCTCCATTTTTGTCTGAGCCACTTTACAATTGACCAAATCCAGGCACATAGGATTTTTCTTGAACAGAATTTATCTGGAATATAAAAGAAATTCATTACCTATTCGAACCTCAGAGATGATGACAAAATAATTTAAAAGACAAAACACAAAAGCAAATAAAGAATGAGCATGCAATCCAAAACTTAAACTACTTGAAATCAAGATCAATGCAAGTTTTCTTTGAATACCTTGTAAGCTATCAAAATATACTAGTATCCTAGACTAAAGGTTGTGAATAGATTATTTCTATCTGGTTCTTCTTGATCAACTATCAACCTAGCATTTCAAAGAAAACGATTCTGATAATCAGAGGACCTATAATTTTGTGCATTACTTTGTTGATGGCATGACCGAAACAAAAAGCCAAGCCACCATTACATTTCTTTCTAGTTTATGTAAATATAGGATGGTAGAACTACATGGCTCAATTCCTTGTTCTGTTTTATTAGCTGTGTCACCTACAGCAAATTATTTCACTCCTGTGGACCTCAGGTTTCTCAAGAACAAACCAATAATGATAATACCCATGCTGTGCAGGTTAAATTCAATTACCAACGTAAACCACCAGCACAGGGCACTGCAGGTGTAATGTGCCCAAGAACTAGATTTGACTGTTATTTATCACCAGGATTCTGTTTTTCTAAATAACAGTACTATTATGCATCAGTTTGTGTGCTACATTCTGGAGATGTGGCAGTGACTTAGAAAAGATCCCTATGCAAGGAGCTTATTCTTTAATGAGGGCTCATTGTCACTCCTTCCTCGACTTGATGAGTTTAGTAGTATCATGTGGTTTGCAATGGAACTTGGAGCCACAGCTCCTCTGTAAACTCAGAAATAACTCAGGCATCATGGGTATGTTGCTCTTTTATCAACCACTTTCCTAATTCCAAAGCATGGCTTGAATAGATTGCAAATATACAATGAAATTATAAACCTGAATCTGCCATCACAGTGTCATTTGTTATTAATGTACTACCCTGGGGGAGATGTTGCACTGGATCAACTCTGAAACGGTATTATTCTATTTTTGAAAGGACTCTTTGCATTGTGCAAGAAAATAAAATCAGAAAACTCAAAATTGAGGGAGAATTAATCCACAGAAAGACTACCTGTTTTACATTCAAAAATTCTTAGCATGGGAAACAAAACCTGGGCATTAAGGGGAATAAAATGAGAATGTGGGTTTGAAGATGCCAGTTCATAGATGCCCAGTATCGTCACCATGTGTTTGATTTGACGAAAATAGTTTTACACTAATAAAAAAGTAACAACCATTCAAGTTCTAAACACTTTGCAGGATCCTCTTAAAGTTCTATGGGCATATATTTAGTTTCTAGGGATATCCTGTTTTCTGACAAAATACAAGGAAACATACAAGTCTCAGCACCATCGGATAAAAGGAAACCCTTTGCTTCCCTCCTGGTTTCCTTGAGGAAGCTTTCCTTAAGTTCATTTCTGACCTCTCTTTGCCAGCATTGCTCGCTCTGCCCTGTGCCGGTAAAGGGAATAAATTCTATTTGTAAATTTAGGAAGAATATGTATCAGGATGATGATTCTCAGGCAGGAGAAGCAGGAGACCAGGCAGAGGAGCACCGTATGTTTAGAAGTATGTAACTGTTACATTTCTAGTTTTATTCTGGATAATTCATTACTAGATGTGAATTACATCCTTTAAAAATAACCACCAAGGTATCTAAATAAATGGTAGCTGACCACCATGGACCAATGACTACAGGATGTCATGAATCAAAGATTATAATTAAGTTGATTATGTGCACCTAAAATCCCAAAAAGGGGGAAAGAAGGAAATATTTAAAACCTATTCATGCTCAGCAAAACTCTATGGCCACCTGGCATCCTTCTTGGGAGTAAGCTGCCTTCAGATGGAATCAATTTTCCTTACCTCCCGAATGACACCTTCCTCCTTGGGATGTGGTTGGTAAGTTGGCCTTATTCTGTG